CTTCGCAGGATACAATGACCGACTAAAGGATAAGAGATGGAACCACGAAATACAACAATGGAGACCACGGAAGAAAAAGAGGCAGAGGAAGACCACAAATGAGATGGCCGGATGATATTAAGAAGATCGGAGGAAGGAAGTGGCGCAAAATAGAAGATACTGGATTGATTTGGGGGAGGCATATGTCCAAACTTGAAATACTTAAGGCTGAAGAAGAAGAAAAATAATCTTTTAATTATTTTATAATTTAAATTACTTCTGTTGCGTAGTTGTAAGATGCTTCAGAATTGAGATAACTCGTTCTATAAAGTTTTCGCCATATTTTGACGCAGCTATTGTAGTCATGTCATATATTAGATCAATTGTAATTATAGTTATATCTATATTAATTCTCGATAAATTTCATCAATGGAGAATTAAAACTACCTAATATAAGAAGTAGAGACTATCTCTGCTCATCTTTTAGTTTGGATCAGCATGCCATCTTTCTTCGTATTTTGTGCTAAAAATAGGCCCACTGTAAATAATTTTGTTACTTTCGGTATAAAGCATCTTGCTTTAGATTGTGCTAGATGCGTTTGTCTTCGATAACGATAAACAATGTGTCTAGGTCATTTTAAAATTTTCTTGATCTATATTTCATATAGCTCTGGCAACATGACCTTCCAGTTACATTTCAGATTTGTAATTCTTTAAACTGCATTTGAAACAACAGTTTTTTCCCAACTCTTTAACATAAAATTCTGTCTCTGAACGATATATTTAACATTAACCTCTCCATTGCTCTATGGACCACTTGTATTTTAGTAAGGTTCTGAATTATATAAGAGAATTGGAATACTATTATAAAATAATACTTCAATCAACCATGTGAGCTTATCGTCTATGCTTCGCCTAGCTCAGTCTCTCAAGTTTCTTGGTAAAAAAACATTTGTGAATGGACTCAGATATAAAATGCAGGACAATTATTCCATATCGCAGAAGATCGAGAAGCCTTCGCAATGGTGATCGCCAACGTCGGGTAATTCTGATATGGCACGCGAAGGAGAAGAGGAATCCCAAATAATAATATAACAGTAAACGACGGAAATATAACATACCTGGCTCTCTAAAAGATGACGTAAAAAAAATACAGATACTAAAAAATATTTTCTTATCTTAAAGACCGTCAATTACTTCAAAAGATCTAAACCACCCATTGTAATAAACATATGAAAAACGAATGTATATTGGGTGGTCCTTAAGTAATTTTACAAACAAAAGTCTTAGATTCTACACTGTAAAATATTACGATTTAAGCCAACTTGCTTTAATAAAATGTTGGTATTAAGAGGCAGGGTATTAAAGTGGAAATTTAAAATTTTATTATTTTTTGCTATAATTATTACGTTTGTAAAAACTAGAAAAAAAAATTAAAAACTAGAGCACATGTATTGAGTAACACATATGTATCTTGTTTCATAATACTTTTGCTACAGATCTAAGCTTAAAGACTCAGCATTTTTACAATAACTTCATCGTTGGCCTAATAACCATTATTTTTATAAATATGGTAAAAACACAGACAATTAAGTTCAACATATTATTAGTTCATCAGTAAATCATAATAGTCAATTTGTTCGAGATGTAATTATAGTTACTCGTAAGCTGTAAAGTAATTATATAAATAAGTAATGTCATCGATACGTTATTCCGTGTGTGTATATAAGTAACCAATAAACGAGATACATTACAGTTTAACATATTAATCAACCTCTGCGACAAATAAAATGTAGTTCCATAATATACCACAAGATTTGGATATATATCCAAAAGAATATAATCATCCAGTATACATTATTGCCACCATGTAACCCAGAATTTAATACTTTTAATTTTGGTGTATGAAACGCATTAAAACAATGTGTCTATAAGAATCCCATAAAAATTAGCAACCAACTATGGGAAGAAACAAATACTGCAGCATTTTTATTTATCGTATGGCACTTGACACATTTACATTTAAATTTACATATAATTTGTATAAAACATAATACATATATGTTTACAAACGAACATCTAACTTATTTATATATTCTATCGACTCTGGAGTCGCCATTAGGAAATCCTCTGACCTGCCTTGATAGGATCTTGTGGGACACTGTTCTGTGATGTGACAGATGGTTTGTGGTTGTCCGCAGTCACAGAGTGGGGATGGTCGTTTACCCCATTTGTGCATCATATAACCGCATCTGCCATGTTTGGTTCTGATTATGTTCAACATAGTCCATGTGTTGCGTGGTAAGTCAAAACCTGGTGGTTTTTGTGTGATGCAGGGTAAGCTGCTATTTTGTTGTTCCATCCATTCTCGAGTCCAAGTGGTCGTTAAGTTAAACTCATTTTCCACTGCAATCTGTGCTGTTTTTATTGGCGGTCGCCTGGAGCGCAAACGGTTGCCATTGGCAGCTTCTATATCTTGATGAATTGGCAGGGTCTCGTTGCTAAATATCTTTTGGTACTCACTAGTGAGGGAGTGTATACGCCGTAGTCTGGGTGGTGGAATGTGTCTCAGGACTGGGAGCAATTGCGTGGGGGTGGATTTGATAACACCAGTAATCATTCTCATTGTGTTATTTAATTGGGCATCTACTTTGTGTGTATGTGGGCTGTTAAGAGAGGCTAAAGAGCAGTATTCCGCGGTTGAGAAAACAAGGCGCAGGGCAGATGATTGCAAGGTGGAAGCCGATGCTCCCCATGTTGTGCCGCACAGCTTCTGGATGATGTTGTTTCTGGATTTAAGTTTTTGCGCTGTTTTTGACAGATGTTCCTTGAAAGATAGAGTTCTATCAAGAGTCACCCCAAGGTACTTTGGTGTTTTATTGTAGACCAGTGTGGTGTTTTCGAATTGGACGTTCAGTGTTCTTCCTGTAAGCTTGTTAGTTAGGTGAAAACTGAAAACCTCTGGTAGCGTTTGGTTGGAGCCTCCATTTACGGAAATACTTTCCAACTGTGTGTAAGTCTGCCGTAAGAATTTCTTCTGTTTGTTCAATTGACTTACACTTTGTTGCAAGGACCCAGTCATCGGCGTAACCAAACTTCCTTGATCTGGTTTCTTGTATATCAGCGATGTACAGGCTAAAGAGAAGAGGAGCTAGGACAGATCCCTGAGGCAGTCCATTCTTCAGTTTTCTTGGGGTGCTGATGTCGGTTCCCATGACTACTTGAATCGTTCGGTCGGCTAGCATGCTGTTGATTATTCGAGCGGTGGATTTACAGAAGATTGTAGGAGGAGGAGCTTGTATATCATGCCTTCCCTCCAGACTGTATCGTTGGCCGCTGTTAGGTCTATGAATGCGGCTGCAATTTTAAGTTTTCTCTGGAACCCTGCCTCAGCTTCTTTTCGGTTGGAAACCTGCTTTTCTGCAGATTGAAATTTTAAAGTATTGAGCCCTCGTTTTACCTTGATTGTGTTTGGCTTGTCTTTCGTGGCCCTAGATGTCGATACCAGATGTGAGGCAATAGTATTTGGGTTAAGTGTTGTTTTGTTCCCTGTTATGGGAGTTCCGCTTCCACTGTAACAGTTTCTTTGGAACCAATGATGCTATTTAATATAAGACGATCTTTTATGGAATATATTAACAAATGAATTAAAGAAAATGGTGGACATATATCAGACACTTACTTTGACAAAAAGTTATGTTATTTAGTAGAACTATTTCTTAATTTGGTTAGTAAATAAAATGTTTTGGTTATAAATTTTATTTAATAAAAAACCAAAAATGTTTTATGTAAAATCCCATTATTCTGTTATTTTGTCAAATTCTATGATTAACATTATCCTGCAGATATCTTTATTTTCTTTAATATTTCTTTAAATATTAACTTTAGTTGAAGGTATTTTATACCAAAATTTAGAAGTATTAATGTTTCTGTCTATTTTTCCTTCGTTGCCTAGAGTAATTACGTTAAATCAGAATTATGCAGCTGATTTGTATAATGCGATTATCTCGAGAATTGTTGAGTTTTTAAATTATTAACAAGTATACCTTTTTTGGTAAAATAATGTATCATTGATTTTTTTGTCACAAATTCAGGTATATGTAGCGCCCTTAATCATCTACATCAAAGTGTGCATCAAATTATAATTTCCCATACTTAAAAGTACCCAGTTTTACATTTTTATTCATAAATGTCTACAAACGTGTAAGTTATAGCGAAAAACAAAATTTTAAATTTGCACTTTACCACCCTGTATCTTTCTTAATATCAACATTTTATTAAAGCAGCTTGGTTTATATCGTAATATTTTAAAGTGTAGAATCTACAGTTTCTTTTTCTATAATTACTTACGGACCATCCTGTATACAATATTTATATTGACTGTCGCATTAATCTAAATACGTTAATGACCATGCGTGGTCGATGGGATATTAAATAAAAAAAAGTTTAGTATATAAACACGTTTTAATATTAATGATTTGTTTAATCCATATTTCAAATTTCTGTATATTCAATAATGTAATATACTTTAGTAAAAAAATTACTAGGTTTATATATTATTGACTTTTTGTCCGATTAATTTTTGTCTCTTTGAACTATTAAAGTGTTTTAGTTTCCAACGCTGCATTATAAATTGAATATACCTATGCATACAAGAAAAACTGTTATAAGCCCGTCTTTTTTCACGTCGGGATTAATGCGTACCTAATGTTAAATTGTAAGTAAGCTAGCCTGTCATAAGAACAACATTGAATTATCCTTGACGTAAATTTTATTATAGTTTTACCTTTTGGTTCGTACAAATATGCAATTATTATTCTCATTTGAGAATAAATTTTTTGTAGCTAGGTATGTATAACATTTTAATCGATATCGAATAAAACGAATAAAGATAAGTGATGGTATAATACAAAATGCTTTAAACAATTTTAATCTTATCAATTTAATTAGAATAATATAGCGACCTTCGCATATACTGAGATATCTTTTAAAAAATTTGTTATCTACTAATGATAAGAGTCAAATGATATCACCAGTCTCGTTTGAGTTTAGCAAGTGTCCTGTAATCGTTTTATAATTGTGTGCCAAATAAAAGAGAATGTTTAAAAAACAGAAAAAACCTTCAAAATTAAGTAGTGTACAAAGTGATAAACGCATTGATCCTGTGCCAAGACCTCCAGTATCTCCAGTTTCACCGGTTACAAGAAGTACATTACAATTTTACTGTCAACTAGCACATGGCAGTCCAACAGCGTTTGTGTCAGGTTTTTCTAATATAAAAGAACTTTACGAACGAATTGGTGAATGTTTTAACCTTCCTGCCTCAGACATCCTATTTTGTACTCTAAATACTTACAAAATTGATATGACTAAATTATTAGGAGGGCAAATAGGACTTGAAGATTTCATTTTTGCACACTGTAGAGGAAGGCCGAAAGAAGTTGAACTAACAAAATCGGAAAGTGCCTTAGGTTTAACAATTACAGACAATGGTGCTGGCTTTGCATTTATTAAAAGAATAAAAGAAAACTCAATAATTCAAAATATTCCTCACATTAAAGTTGGCGACCATGTAGAAAAGTTGAACGGCGTTAATATGGTTGGTAAAAGACATTATGATGTTGCAAAAGCGTTAAAGGATATTCCAGTTGACACTACATTTGTAATTAGGCTAGTTGAACCAATAGAAAGTGGCTTCTCATCGATTGCTCCTAAAAGTAATAAATCAGGTGGTAGTAAAAAGGGATATGGAAGTGGCAAAGAAACCTTAAGATTTAAAGCAGATGGTAATGCAGAAATTCAAGAACAAGATGATGCCATGGATATTGGAATTGAAAAGATTAATGGAATTTTGGAAACGTTTTTGGGAATAAATGACTCGGAACTTGCAGCGCAAATATGGGATCTCTCTGTCGACAAACAAAATTCCATGGACTTTGCGGAAGCCATTGATGATTCAGAACTTGCCAGTTTTATGTTCACAGATGAAATTGTTATTGAATTGTGGGGAGTTATCACAGATGCAAGAGATAAAAGACTTTAACTTTTTAAATAAAAATTATGTATTTATATAAAAATTTACAGCTTTATTTTTTATATATTAAATCTTACATTCAATTAGAGGGTTTTTTATTATTCAGTAAAATGTTAATAAATAACTGATATTTTTGTAAGGACTTGGCAATGCTCAGAAGGTGTTTTGCGTTGATTTATTTAATTATTATTTAAATTAGAATAAGCCACTAGTAAAGGTTAAAGTTAGTTTATTGACGTTTTAATTTCTTCTTCTTCTTCTTTCTTCTAGAAAGCCTACTTTAAGGCCTGTTTCGTCTTTAATATAAGCCTCTTAAATTGTCACACTATCTTTTTCTTGGTCTGCCAATACTTCTTCGTCCATTTGGTGACTTATCGTGCTATTCGTACTATTTTATCCTCTGCCATCTACTGATATGTTCATTCCACTCCTGTTTTTGTTTTGTCACCCATTAATTTATGTATTTATGTCAATTTATGTCTATATTGCATGCTCTTCTTATGGTTTCGCTTCTCTCCCTATCCAATAGACTTCTCACTGATATTCGTCGGAGTATTTTTATCTCTGTTGTTTCTAGCAGTCGTCTCGTTTTGGATGTGTCAGGTCTTGTCTCCGCCGTGTATGTTAATATAGGACTAATTGCTGCTTTATAGATTCTTGTTTTTGTGTCTTGTCTTAGGTTCTTCTTCCAGATTGTGTCATTAAGGGAACCCGCCGCTTGACTTGCTTTCAAGCTTTGTTGTCGTATTTCTTCTTCAATATCTCCGTAACTAGTTATATCCATTTCCAAATATCTAAACCTTGCTTCCTGCTTTATTATTTTCTTATCAATTCCGATTTTACACCGTAGTGGGTATTTAGATGTTGTCATACATTTGGTTTTGTCGGCTGATATTATCGTATATCATATATCATTATTTCGTCCATTATTAAGAGAAGTGGGCTCAACGGGTCACCCTGTTGACTTCGCTTTGTACCGGTATACACACGTTTTAATTTCCACCTCGGAGATCGTTTTCAAAATATAAACATTAGTTTGTATGTAAACAAAAAAAATTGTTTAATCTATGAATGTTTTGTATTTTGAGAACAATGTCCGAAGTGGAAATTAAAACGTCAATAAACTTACTTTAAACTTTAGTTGTGGCTTATTCCCATTAAAATAGTAATTACTTAAAAATACCACAAGAAAATAACTTCAGAACCATATTGATTTACTTAGTTAATTATGATATTTTTGCACTTATTTTGAGTTATTTTTTTGTTCTCCTTCTTCTTCAGATGCAAATCCACTAATGGATGTTAGCGATCACATTTTCCATTAATTCTCTATTTCTTGCAATATGTATCAGAGATTGTATGTCGTTAATCCCGTCCATTGCCTTATGTTTCGGAGCCAGGACATTTTCTTGCGTCCCATTCCTCTCTTGCCTTCAATTTTACCCTCGATTATAAGTTGGAGGAACTGGTATTTTTCATTTCGCATGATGTAACCTAGATACGCCGTTTTCCTTTTCTTGATGGTTTCGAAGATTTGGCATTCTTGGTTTATTCTTTTAAGGACATCTATATTTGTGATTTTCGCTGTCCATAGTATTTTAGGATATGGCGATAAAGCCACATTTCGAAAGCTTCTAATCTGTTTATATCCCTCGTTTTGAGTGTCCAGCCCTCTACGCCATATATCAGCACTGACCATACGTAGCACTTAGTAAACCTTAGTCTCAGTTGAAGATCGAACTCTGAACAAGTCAGTACCTTCTTGAATTTTATGAAAGCTTGTCGAGCTTGCTCAATGCGACATTTTACTTCCCTGTCCAATGCCCAGTCTTCAAAAAGCCACGATCCCAGGTATTTAAATTTACTCACTCTTTCTATGGATTTAGTATTCAGTGTTATGGTGGAGTTTTCAAGTGCATCCAAGTTTCTGGAGATGATCATGAATTTGGTCTTTTTGGTATTAATCTCTAATCCCATTCGCTTACTGTATTCTCCGATTATAGTGACAAGTTGTTGAAGATCGACTATGTTGTCACAAATTAAGGCACCATCATTAGGATATCGTATGTTGTTGATCAATACTCCATTCACCTTGATACCCATCTCTGCATCCTCCAAAGACTCTTGAAATATGGCTTCCGAATAAATGTTAAATGAAACAGGGGAAAGCACACATCCCTGTCGAACGCCTCTTCTTATATGTATGGGTTTAGATATAGAATTGTCTATTTTTAACTGTGCCGTTTGATGCGAGTACAAGTTTTCAATGCATCTTATGTCTTTTTGGTCTATATCAACTTTTTTGAGAATCTGCAATAACTTGTGGTATTGGACACGATCAAACGCTTTTTGGTAATCTAAAAAGCATAGGAACGCATCCTTTTTCTGATCGTAACAATTTTGGACCAGCACCTGTGTTGCTACTATTGCTTCTCGTGTTCCTAAACCTTGCCTAAAACCGAACTGGGAACCACTGATGTCCCATTCACATTTTTTGTATAATCTTTGATGTAGTATTTTTAAGAATATCTTTAAAGTGTGACTTATCAGGCTAATGAGTCTGTGATCCTCACAACTTTTTGCATTGACTTTCTTGGGCGGGGGATAAAGGTAGAGCGTAACCACTGTTGAGGATAGCAGCCAGTTTCATAAATTAAATTAAATATTTTGTGTAGTGCTGAAATTCCCCTTTGATCTAGTAATTTGAGTATCTCTGACGGGATCTCATCTGGTCTTGGTGCCTTATTGTTTTTTGAATTTAATATTGCTTTTTCTATCTCCTCTTTGGTGATTGAAGGGCCAGTCAGCTGGTCGTCTGTATAAACTTCACTCATGTAGTTGGTCCTCGTTTTGTGTATATTCCAGCAGTCTCCTTAAGCTTTTTATGTAAATTACGGTCGTCGTGCTGTCGTTGTAAATGTTCTAGATCGATATATTGTTGCTTAAGCCATTCATTTTTTGCTATTCTTATTTTTGCTTTCATTTGCCTGTTAATGTTTTCATACATACTGCTGCCATCTTGGTCATTCTTGTGTCTTCGTCGTTCTTCCATTAGTAATAGTATTTCTTCTGTCATCCATTTTTGCCTCTTGTTATTTCGTTTGTACCCTAAGTTGTTTTTCATGATGTCTGTTACAGCACTTGTAATCGTATTCCATGTTGGTGTTAGATCTTCGGTAATGTTTGTCGTCAATATTTGAATTTTTGCGTTTATTTCATTGCTTATTTCTGCTTGTATCACTGGGTCTTTCAGTTTATCCAGTGCTATCTGTTGTTGAGTTTCAGGCTTGTTCTTGCATGAAAGAGCGATCTTTATGACGGCCACTAATAGTACGTGGTCAGAAGGGACATCTGCTCCAGGGTATGTGCAAGCTCTTTTGACAGTTGTGCTGAATTTTTTTGTTATTAAACTATTTATGTATCATTATAATGGAATGTTCAGTGCCCCAAACACGTTAGTAGATTTAAGTTCTAAGAGATCTCTCTTTCCATGTATGACTAATACTTCTTTTTCCTAATATTGTTTAGTAGTCTTCAAGTATTCTTCTTCTTCTTCTTAATATGCCTATCCGTTACAAATGTTGGCGATCATCAGGGCAATCTTTATCTTATCTGCAGCAACACGGAAAAGCTGCACAGATATTGTATTGAACCAGATTCTAAGGTTCTTTAACCAAGATGTTCTTCTTTTCCCTGGATCTCGTTTTTTAAATATTTTTTCTTGTAGGAAAACTTGCAGAAGAGCATATATTATCTTGAGTCATGTCGCATAATATGTCCGAAGAACTGTAACTTTCGAGATTTGATGATGGTCAGTACCTCTCGGTTCTTATTCATTCTTCTGAGGACCTTCTTATTTGTGACTCGGTAGTCCATGGGATCTTAAGCATTCTATGATATAGCCACCTCTCAAATGCTTTCAGTTTTTTGCACATATCTTTATTCAAGGTACACGATTCAACACCATCAAAAGGGCAGAGAAGACGTAGCATCGCAGTATTCTTACTTTTGTATCAATACAGAGGTTGTGACTATTAAAGAACGCCCCCGTCCATTTAAAGTAGGATCTAGCTTTTCCGATGGGTGCTTTAGTCTCTTGGTTGTTAGTCCATTCTTCATTTATTATGGTGCCGAGGTAGTTGTAGTACGTCACTCTTTCTACAGGGGATTGTTTGACGTAAAGTTGACCTTCTGTTATCCCTTTCTTACTAATTATCATAACCTTTGTCTTCTTAACGTTTATATTAAGTCCATATTTTTGACTGTAATACGTGATTTTGTTCATAAGATCTTGTAGGTCTTTTAAGTTATCCGCAAATACTATAGTATCATCTACTTATCTGATGTTTTTAAGCCGGTAACCATTTAGTAGAATACATTTTGAGTTTTGTGCAGATTGCATATTTTTTTCAGATTACAAATTGTAGACTAAAGAAGACAAAATATAGTAAAAAAGAGAAATCATACGATTTCTACCTGGCGAAATCGAATTCAAATATAGGCCGCCGTGCTCCCTAAGACTTGCGAAGCGAACAGCTTGATGAATGCATCGGCAAGGGAGTCTAAAACTTGCACTCCAAATGCCGTTCATCATGGCCTATATTCGTAGTGAATTCGATTTCTGGTACTCCAAATGAAGTAAATAAACAAAACAAATGACGGTATTATATCTTGATTTGATACAGAGCAGCAACAAGCCGCATATACGTATTTCAATCTCTTTAGATCTCCTCAGTACGGTATAGTTACTACTCCATATCAAACCAAAATATTTTCCCGTCGTAGATTATAGTTATTAAAAATAACTATTTACGGACGTAACTACGCCATCTAAGAACAAAAAGAGAAATCATACGATTTTTACCTGGCGAAATCGATCTAACGAGATCGAAATACGTATATGCGGCTTGTTGCTGCTCTGTATCAAATCAAAATATAATACCGTCATTTGTTTTGTTTATTACTTTGTTTACTTCATTTGGAGTACCAGAAATCGAATTCACTACGAATATAGGCCATGATGAACGGCATTTGGAGTGCAATTTTTAGACTCCCTTGCCGATGCATTCATCAAGCTGTTTGCTTC